CGGTTAACATTTAACCATCGGTTAAATTCTGTTGCTCAGAATTTATCCACTGATTAACTTTGCTATCCAGTGATTAAATATTGGCCAAAGTTAGCCATTCCACAGAGGTGGGTTAAGTCTCTTATCCAGTGGATAAGATAATCATGGCTACCTAGTTATTGTTTTTAGTAAATTTTGGAGGATAACAAAAGAAACAAAGGTTTATATGATTGTAATCATGAATTTAATATTGATGAGTACTATAACAAGACAGTCATTTACTAGTCAAGAAGAAATGGCTTTTCACCAATATGGAAGAAGGGATAACAACACTATCAGAGATATGATAGGATTTCATGTCTTCAGCATCAGCAAGAATGTTTTGAATGGGTTCTTTCAAGGCTAAAATTGTTGGTGTTGCAAAGGATTTTATCAAGTGACAATCCCCTGTTGATAAAAAAATGATGATAAATAAGAGGTTCAAAGATGAATGGACTGGTTATCGATGGAAGAAGCGTTTGGTAGACCAACAAAAATGACGACAAACTTTAAAGGCTATAGAGCTGGACGTCATATGTGGAGACCACTGTTAAGTATTTTTAAGTAATTTTTTAACCATTATAATTACATAAGTTTCAAAATAAGGTGTTTTCTTGCTTTCTTGTGATGTCAGTCCTAGTTTGTTACACTGTTTTGATTAAGTTTATTTCATTGCCAGAGAATAAACAAAGTGATCGTTTTTCCTAAGGCCGCACAAATACTGGCTGTAATCATAATAGTTGCAGGATTTTTCGGTGTTTGATTTTAATGCATATATCTACAATGTAGGTAGTATATGTGATTGTGTACAAATCTTGAACAGAACACTAGACTAAGTTAATTCAAGAAAGAAAGATGATTCAACTACGTCGGAACAAACACGATTCCATTCTGATAATAATTAGATTCTCGATTAGAGCTGAACACGATTCGTAAAAGGAATAGAGTTATCTTGCCCGCCATATTTATTTTCTCAAGGCCGTCGTTTTCCAACCGCTATATATGTCTCAGCTTTGTTCCCGGTTCAATGTATTTTGCTTCACGGATTCTACCTGAGCACACGTCTCCGTCGTTGTCATTATGATATACTTGGGCGCTACAAAAATGACTTCTGTATGCCTCTGCCACGTCAGGAAAAAAGTTATCAAAAGATATTTGATATCAACTGCACAGGTCAATACATTACAAAGTGAAATAAACATAAATGCACTATCAATGAAATAAAACGTAAACAAAAAGGGCAACGTGAGATATACATATACTACACGCCGCTGCTGAAAGCAATCAGGTGTAACGAATGCAACGGGTTTATATACCCCAGTTCTGATGTAGGAGACAGGATTGAAAACTAATATGGCATGTGTCTATTTACGATTCGTATTTAGCTTTAAGCTAAGGTAAATGGTTGGGCGCTCGTTTCGTGCCACGAAGGCCCGGATTGGATTTTTCGTTGGATTGTCCATTCGCACCTGGTATAGTAAACCTATATTCTATCATGAGATAATTACTAAATAGAAAAAACCTTCCTTCCAGATATTACTCCATGCAGAGAAAACCATCTTCCTCCGGACATTTTACTTTATTTTGAACGTTCCCCCTTGATTCGGATAATCATTATTAATTCGGAATTAAGTACATTCAGCGTGTTCATTTTGTTTGTTGATAACAATCAAAATTAACATGAATAATATACAAGATTCTGAATTTTTTGAATACTATTGTATACGCACATTCGATTTAAATATGGAATTATGGTGAAAGAGCTATCTGGATGGGCCATCATCATAAAATTTTAGCATCAAGTGAAATCAATTCAGTTATGATTTTTTTTCATCATTCATCAAGTAATAAAATGAATGTTTTGATTAGTAATGTATTAAATCAAAGGTTCACAGAAGTTGTTTTTAAGAATTATTATATAGGGCTTGGACACAGTACTTTCTGATCATCATAATTTCTCAAAAATAAAACTCAAAATTCTAATGTCGTGAACCCTGAGGTCTACGCAAAAAATAATTCTCTATCCACCGTTGTTTTTGTTACCCCTACACTCCCACATAAACTTCTTTCTTCTTAATACAGGTGATAGAGGTCAGGCATACCGCATATGTAAAAAAAACATTATTTATTTATAACTTAGTACTGATAAAATAGAATAACAGTCGTTTGTAGTCAGGTTGGAATGTTAACTTGAGGAAGAAATACTATATAGTAAACCTTGTGCAATGAAGGAAGGTGCCTTCCGGGGGGATTCTTTACTATGGGGAAAGGCTTACTACATGTACATGTACGTGTATACGACATCGACGGACGTTAGAAATCAAATTGTTGGTCTTTCGTATATGACCTGAAGTATGGAAGTCCCGTGTCACAATTCGATAAAGAACCCTTTACTATTTACGGCCATACATAGGTCAATTTGTGGCATTTTACCTAATGCAGGTGATGATGTCTCCATATAAGTGAAAAAGTTTGAAATTAGGCGTAAAACAACAACAATCGATCAATCAATTCAATCAGAAGGATTAATATATGCTATTCTTTTATTTCTTTTATGTAGTTGTATATGTAGGCATCATCGATATCTTATTCATGAAAGGATGAATCGTTAAATCGTCCAAATCTGGCCCCCCGATAATTAACAAAAAATTAAATTAAAGATTTTCTAGATATTTTTGCCTCAATCTTTCCATAAAACATTGTAGTTTATTAATTTCAATTTCACTTTTTACTTTCCCTGCACTGTAATTAGGTATTTATGTGATTAATATAGCAGGGGTATGTTGTTTACATCGATTTCTCATAGACTTTAGGCCACACCCCCATTTTGCAAGCCCATTTTTTATATGAGCGCATGGATGTTTCAAGTTATCGTAAATACGGTCGATGTAAAGAGTTATACTAGTCATTTACATTCATGAAAGAAATTGAAACAGTCTTGCGCTCATTTGTTATTTTCCAAAAAGGTGCAAAATCGCGGGTGCTTGTCTCCATAGTAAAGTCACCTTGTTTACAAATTTCAACCCGTCTTTGACCTCATGAATGACAAAGCACTGATCACGTGACTCAAATCTATTCACTTCTACGCTTTGAGCACACCTATGCGACATTGTGTCTGCGAGCTATCGATGGTAAAATCATTTTTCAAATGAGTAATTAAAATTCTGGGAGAAAACTTTTTTATGATTAAGATGTGTTAAGATTTTCAGTCGATTTTGTTTGATTTTTTTTCGGTATCTACCAATTTATATTGAAATCCTGTAGCATATATCTTGCACTTACTGCTTGTGTCTCATAAATACAGAATTTTAAAATTTAAATTACTGTGGGTAACTGGGAACATATTATACATTTGCCCTTGTTCCTAAATATACATCAGTGCTCCGTTCATTGATTTCGAAGATATGAAAGATTTTTTTTCAGTTAAAACTGTCATTAATCTTATAGTCCGTTATTTGAAAAACACCGATTCATCATATCTATAGAAATTTAAATTGTTTGTTACAAGTGCACAAATGCATGCTTCCAATAGAAAAAACCTTCAGGGAAAGAAATTGAAGTACGGAGCGCTCAAAAAAAAAAAAAAAAAAAAAAAAAAAAAAAAAAAAAAAAAAACGTGTATCGGATGAAAAGACACTGGATGAATACATTTGCACAAAAAGCACCTCTAATTTGAAAAGAGGGAAGCTACGGGTTTCTTCTTAAGCAAATGCTATAACTTTTTACATCGGCACAAAATTTCACAATTTTTTTTCAGATCATGTAAAAAAGTCCATGTTCGCAGGTATTTTTAAAGCATAATGTTTAAAAGCAAGAACTTGCATTTGTATGACCCTTTCAAATGTCCGATCAACGTAGATATTGGTTAAAAAAAAAAAAAAATAAGTCGAATGAAAAAGGGCGTTAAAAATACCTCGGAGTGATTTATTATTTATCTTACTACAGGGACAGAGTTTGTTAAAATCAGAAGTACAGGAGTGGATTTCGACAATTAATGAATTCCTAAATGAGGAAGATCATATTAACTTGTCTGGCATGAATAAACAGGGTTTTTGAAACAATACAATTTGGACTGTACAAAGTACACTGACACTGATGTTTCTTTATCCACCAGCGATGATACTGACGTAAAACTGACGTTTAATTTTCACTTTCTTAACTACCTATCTTTTATACACTGAGTGTAGTTTTATATCATAATTCAACCGCCTACGTGTATTTGTTGTAGCACTCGGATTTTGCAAAATTATATGTATGTATGAAAAAATTCTAATTATGTAATAAGCTTGAATGGATTAATTATCTCTCTTTCAAAAAAAAGAGAAAAGGTTTGTTTAAAGTATGAAAAATAGTGTATCCTTCGTTATATACGTTCTGTTTCCAAATTCCATTGTGTATTTAATGTATAAATAATTTAACGAATTTCTAGTAAATCTCAAATACGACTTGTAAGTTAAGCAGAAAAAAAAATCAAAGTTATGCCAGCCAAATTAAAAATGTATGCTTATATTTTGTCGGTCTATAGCAAGAAAAAAAGGCTTTTTAGGTGTCAGTTAATCATAAAACTTAGTATATCTCGAACACACGCTAATGTATTCATACTAATCGCATGCTTGATAGACGCTCCGCCTTCTCATTCTAATAATACAATGACCTACATAGCTGTAATGGCGAAACCGGGATTTTACAGTGAAGTATACGATTTTATTTAATCGATATAATGTATATATTGAAAGTCTCTTTCCCAAAAAAATCTTTTATGAGTATTTATACAGACTATGCTTGAAAACTTTAGTTATTATACAACAACGTTCTGATTTGAAAAGGTAATATTCTGCATTTAAAAAGGGGCGAGAAAGCAGTGTTATGAAGATTCATTCTTCCATATAAGGGATAGTTGTACGTGAGTTTAGTCTGTTTAAGTCATGTTATTGTCCTTTACTGAATATATTGCACTGATAAGAAATGTACAGATTAAGATTGATAGTGGTTTAAGGTCGACCATAGTCTCGAGCGAATTAAGTCATCAACTGCCTGAAATCATGAAAGCAGCCATTCTTTTTCTTGTGTGTATTACACTGGTGTCAGGTAAATTTATTAAATTTTAGGTTTGTACAATGATAAAAGATGTTTATCAAAGAAACGTTTTTTTTAAACAGACTTGATATTAAGAAAAATGAGGGCAAACAAAAACAAAAATAGTGTATCCTTCGTTATATACGGAGCAATAGTTCCAAAGACATATTAAATGCTATTCCAAGGACTATTTCTACACTCATTTCATTTCCTTGATAAAAATTACTCATATCAGATAACCTTTCATTTCTGTTATAAATGTGAAAAATATATTATTGTCAATACATTGTACATTTTATGCACATTAATTAAGGCATCAATCTATTGCAAATATTTATTTGTAGCTTACTGCTTTTTAAAATCATACTTCTAGAGATAAACATGACTGTTGTGAACAGTCCGTAATAGCTTAAAAATATCCTTAAATTTGATAAGCTTAGAAACATCTGAAACACATGGACGATTTTCGATGAATTATCAGATGTACTTTTGTTTACAAAATTAATTGATATCCAAATAATAAGTACTTGCATACTAAAAGCTTGCGAAAAGATTTTTAAATTTTGAAAAAATTCCCTTTTTATTTGCTTCAATTTACGAAGGTTTTAAATATTTTTCTTATTTTCTGTATTCTTACTCATTGTAAGACAAATGATGTTGATTTATATTTTTCAGCATTCAAACTAGAGAATGGTAAAGTATTAATTGTATGTTAACTGTTTTTGTAAGAAAAAAAAAAGAAATTCTAGAGATTATCTTACATGTAAGAGCTCTGAGTCCACTGCGCGTTTATAAACTTATCAAAGAGGAAAACTGGAACATTGAATTCCTTCAGTTAATAAACGACCATAGACTGGTTTCTCTTTACAGCCAAAAGAGCTACACATACTGGGCAGTGTCCGCTAGTAGACACGAATCTCTTCGGTATTTGCATGTATGATCCTGCAATAAATTGTCTGAGTGATGATCAATGTAAACCAAGTAAGTGATGAAGTTATACATATATCTTTATATTGAAATGAATATTATTTTTCTCTCCACTTTCAATGTTCTTGAAATAGAAGTGCACATGTAAAAATATTTTAATATCATGTCCAATTTATTCATTTAAAATCAAAACATAAATTCTTCATCTTTAAAGGTTTAAACAGTATGTTTTCAAATATACATGAATTGTACTTTTTTCTGGTATTTTCCTATTTAGAGATGAATTGTACCTGATGCAGACAAAAAAAACGATTCCTTTTGATATATGAATTTACAGAAATACATATACAGTTGATATTCGATATCTCGAACACTATGGATATTTCGAAGTGATTTGAAAATCCCGACCCTTATTCTTTAATATGTATTTTACCCTAGATATCTCGAATCCTCGAACATAAATGTATCGATTAAATTCGAAATATCGAGGTTGGACTCTATATTGAACCATAATTCATGTTTCTTTTTCAGCGGAGAAATGTTGTCCAAGTGGCTGCAACAAGATGTGCAAGACAGCTGTTCACCATCAGTTGCTTTTGTCTTAAACATGCAACTCAAAACAATCAATAACCTTACAATGATAATTACATGTATCAGTAAAAATACTGATTTCTGTTGGTAAATTCGATAAAAAAAATTCTCAACTTAATCACTGGATTTTGATAATTTATAAGAACTAAAGGAGGGGAAAAACCAAATGCATATAGTTTGTGGTTTTAAATTGAATTAGAGCTCATGCATTTTCACTAAAGAATCGCATAAGCTGAGTGAGAAAAAATCCACTTTATGACATATCAGTAATCTACAGCAGCATTCATATGTGTATACTTACATGTACTACAAGCAATGATTTTGTTAATTGTTGCCAAATGTAATTTATGCAAGCCTGTCCAAAGGAAATATGCAACTCGAATTGGAAAATTATTTGTGATATGATATAATGTATTTATTTTTCTCAAGTTTATATACAAATGTACAAGTATGTTAAAATACTTAATACTGTTCCCCCCACCTCACTTTTTTGCACCCTTTCACCCCCTTTTTCCTTTCTTTAATTTTATCTCTGTATATAAAGCTTTCACAGTGAATATTCATTAAAATGTACAATATGTCATATACAATTTTAATGTGATTTTGAAATGCAACATATATTTACTACAAAGAAATTATATTTAATATGAAGTATCAGGCAGTAGAAATGAAAGTATGTATTGAATGTTAACTAATATATTGTATAGTCTGTATATGTGAAAGCACAAATAAAATCTATGAATTAAAAAAAAAAAAATATGCAACTCGTAAAAAAGATAAAGAATATACAATTATTAAGTAAATAAATGTCAGTAAATCGAACTAGAACATATAGCTGCAGATTTTTACCACTCTGGTTGAGAAAATTCGGATAGACAAACCAGAGCTACAGATCCAAGCATTGTAATAATCTTCGATTAATGCCGCTGCTTTTTTATCGCTCACTTCGGTTAGTTCTTATTCTCAGAACAAATATTACATTAATGTACCTATGTATTACAATTTGAACAACTGCCTATTTGAAAAGTTATACAAATGTAGCATTAGCTTCAAACACTGCACATATCTCTCAGCTACTTAATCATTACAATTTGGACAATTGCCTATTTGAAAAATTATGCAAATGTAGCATTAGTTTCTAACACCGCACATATCCCTCACCTACTTAATCATTACAATTTTGACAATTGCTTATTTGAAAAATTATGAAAATGTAGCATTAGCTTCTAACACCGCACATATCTCTCACCTACTTAATCAATTGCCTATTTGAAAAATTATACAAATGTAGCATTAGCTTCTAACATTGCACATATCTCTCACCTATTTAATCATTACAATTTGGACAATTGCCTATTTGAAAAATTATACAAATGTAGCATTAGCTTCTAACACTGCATATCTCTCTCACCTACTTAATCATGTGAAAAAGGTGAAGATAACGAGATTGTGATCGATCTCAAAAATCCTTTTAACAATACAAATTTGTAAACCAGGCAATAAAACACGGACCCCTGAAAACTGTAAAGGCGGAGTCAAGTGCCTAGGAGGAGCGAGCATTACCCGTCGACCTGTTAACTCGTCCTAAAAGGACCCCCCCCCCCCCAGAATAATCCATAGTAAAAATCATTAAAGATGTCAGTGAAAATTTGACCCAATAGCAGGTTGTATATCTTTAATTATATATATATATATATATATATATATATATATATATATATATATATATATATATATATATATATATATATATATATATATATATATATATATATATATATTGTATATCCGGAAGCTGATACGGCTATTGTGAGGTCAGGCATATCGCATATGTAAAAATTAATTAATTTATTATTGAGTATTAATAAAACAGAATTACAGTCGTTTACAGTAAGATTGGAATGTTAATGTGAGGAAGTAAACCTTGTTCCAATGGAAGTACGGTATAATGTATATCAATTCTTCCGGGAGGGTTCTTTACTATATATGGGGAAATACTTACTACAAGTATATGACACCGACGGACGTTAGAAATCAAAGTCGTTGGTTGTTATTACTGTATATGACCTGAAGTATGGAAGTCCCGTGTCACAGATCGAAAACGAACCCTTTACTACTTACGGCCGTAAGGCATAGATCAAAATTTGTGGCATTTTACCCAATACAGGTGATGTCTCCATATGAGTGAAAAAGTTTGAGATTAGGCGTAAAACAACAACAATCGATCAATCAATTCAATCAGAAGGATTTATATATGTTATTCTTTTATTTCTTACATGTATATGTAATTGTATGTGTAGACATCATCGATATCTTATTCCGGAAATTCCATATATAAGGGATAGTCTTACGTGATTTTAGTTTGTTTGAGTCATATTACTATCCTTTATTGAATATACTGCACTGATAAGAAATGTACAAATTAAGATTGATAGTGGTTGAAAGTCGGCCATATTCTCGAGCGAATTTAGTCATCAACTGCCTGGAATCATGAAAGCAGCTATTCTTTTTCTTGCGTGTGTTACACTGGTGTCAGGTAAATTTATTAAATTCTTGGTTTGCATAATCACAAAAGATGTTCATCAAAGTAGAGTCTTTTTAAACACACTTTCTTTAGAAGAAATGAGAGCAAACAAAAAAAATTGAAAAATTGCTCCTCATCGATCGAAGAGAAGCAAAATTCCAAAGACATAGTAAATGCTATTTCAAGCACCTTTTCCACATTCATTTCATTGATAACAAAAAACTACTTATATCAGATAATCTTTTTTATGAAAATTATATTATTGTAAATATATTCCACTTTTTATGCAGAGTAAATAATGCATCAATCTATGGCAAATATTTATTTATTTATTAGCTTCTCTCTTTTAAAAATCACACTTCTACAGATAAACATGACTGTTGCGCACAGTCCGTACTAGCTATAGCTTAAAAATATCCTTAAATTTGATAAGCTTAGAAACATCTAAAACACATGTACTTTTATTAACAATAAAATATGGAGATAACGAGTAGTATTCCAGCTCATAGTCCATTTAAACAATACAAATCGGGAGCAGAGCAAACACGGACCTCAAAAAACATCGCAGGCGGGATCAGGTGCCATGGAGGAGTAAGCATCCCCTGCCGAACGGTCGTCCCTCTCCCCCCTCCCCCTTTTCGTCATTATCAGGAAAAATGGAAAATCCGTAGACAGTTCAGTGTGTTAATAATGGCCTAACAATTATCATGGAAAACGTCATTCAGCATTTGACTTAATGATAGATTGTATTTGCTGACAAGGTCATTGTATCGACCATAGAACTTGCAAAATGATGACTTTAAATGAGACTGTTGATATCCTTGTTTTATCAAATTGTTTATCAATAACTTGCCTCGGTTTAGAAACTGTTCGTACGTAGAAATTATTAATACCCAAATTAGTACTTGCATACCAAAAGCTGTCAAATAGATTTTTAAATTCTTAAAACGTTCCACTTTAATTTTCGTCAATTTATAATTACGAATGTTTAAAATACTTTTCTAATTTTCTGTATTTTTAATCATTCTAAGATAAATGATGTTGATTTATATTTTTCAGCATTCAAACTAGAGAATGGTAAAGTATAGATTTGTGAGTAAAATAGAATCTATAGAGAATATCTTAAATGTAATATCTCAGAGTCCATTGCACGTTTAAAATTATTAAAGAGGAGTACTGGAACATTCCTTAACTTAGTAAGCGATCATAGACTTGTTCCTCTTTACAGTCAAAAGAGCTACGCATGCTGGGCAGTGTCCCCTTGTGGACACGAATGTTCTTGGATTTTGCATGTATGATCCCACAAAAAATTGCTTGAGTGATGATCAATGCAGACCAAGTAAGTGATGAAGAAATGTATATATCTTTATTTAAGAAATAAATAAGTTTAAAAACTTCACTAGGAAATGAAGTGGGTCGGTCACGTGATCACATCCTGTGAAGGCCGAGGACCTTCTCAGTAGATTTGATCACGTAAAGAACTCTATGAATTCTTCATCTCTGATACTCTGAAGGTGTAAATAGTATGTTTTAAAATATACATGCATTGTAACCTTCTGATATTTTCCTATTTAGAGATGAATTGGACCTGCTTACAAAAGAGCTTTCATACAGGCTTTTAATTTCATTATTTCGTGAAAACACTTTCTGACAAAACTTTTTTTCAAAAGCCACAACTTCAAAGACTTTCAATCATCCATTTAAAACATGGATAATTTACAGAAATACATTGAACCATAATTTATGTTTCTTTTTCAGCGGAGAAATGTTGTCCAAGTGGCTGCAACAAGATGTGCATGATAGCTGTTCACCATCAGCTGCTGTTGTCCTAAACATGCAACTTAAAACAATCAATAACCTTACAGACAATGATAATTACATGTATCAGTAATAAAACTGATTTCTTCTGGTTTATTTCAAATAAATAAAGAAGAAATCATCTGCACAAGTTGGTGATTTATTATTTATTATTTTAATTTATGAAATCTCTTTAACCAATGAAACATGCTTAAGGGACACTGATCTAATGAACAAAACAGACCTTAAGCCAAAGGTAACACGGAATAGTCACAGAAAGAAAGAGAAGTCTTAACTTTAGCTCAAAATTCAATTGTATCAATGAATCATAAATTTACTATTTGAAAAGGACGGTATTTTTTTTAAAAATACTTTGTGAACACTTTCAAAATTTTCATCTTAATGTTTGAATGCGATTAGAGCTGATGCATTCACATGAAAAAAATGAGTTGAATGAGGAAAAAAATTCTCGTAATGACATATCAGTATTCTACAAGAGGATATTTATGTTATTCATGCTAAACTAAAATGAACCTCCAAATAATGTATAAAGGAAACGCGAATTACAAGAATGCAATTGAAAAAAATTCTACAAACATAAATAACGTATTTTAGATCAGGATATATTTTTAAAAATTAGTTAATAAAAGACAAGTAGTTAATATTGGTAAGGAATGTTACTTAAAATGTTTTAAACACAAAGCATGTATCAGTTGAAGAAAATAAAGTTAAATATACCTAAGTAATTGGAACATTCATACAAATGTTAATTTTACATCAAGGTAGTATGCACAGCATTAATATGTGTTACTACTAGCTACGATTTCGTTAAAAAATGCCAGATTTAATTTATGCCAGCCTGCCCAAATAAAATGCATAAAATGTGCAACTCGTATAAAAGATAAAAAATGGACATTTATTAAGAAAATAAATGACAGTAGAACAAAATAGTACATTTTCCTCAAACAGATATTACATTAATGTACCAATCTATACTTATTAATTAATAATTCTTGCATATAAACTCCGAAACGTCCGCGCCAGATTTCATACTTACTCGTAAACTACACTAGGTAAGAGATGATATACGTAAACTATATTATATTTCACTCGCACATTAATTATCGTAAATTTACGCATTAAAAGTCTACTTTCATTTTCGATAAACAGCCGTGAAATAGCAAAGATGAAATCTGGTCCCTAGGAGGATTAAGCATCCACTGTTGACTGGTCACTCTGCTGGAAGCCCTCTTTATTGATTCAATAAACGGAATAATCCATAGCCCCGTAGCAACGGTTTCAAAAGTTGGGGGTGGGTGGGTGGTGAACCCCCCCCCCCCCCTAAAATCTGACAAGCAAAAAACAAAACAAAACCTACAACCTGACCAAAAGTGGGGGGGGGGGTCCCCCCCCCCCCCACGTTCTACGGGCCTGCATAGCCAAAATCAGTATGGAAACAATGGCATAACAATTGGTATTAAACGTAGTAAAAATTCGACCCTACAACAGGTTGTATTTGCAAACAAGGTCATTCTAACGACTATGAAAATTTCAACTTGCTGACTTTAAACGAAATTCTTCAAAGCCCTATAATATCAGTAATTCATAAGAACATTTCTTTGGTTTCAGTTAGTTGCTTTGCTGTTACAAGGATATCGACAATTTCGTTTATAGTCAACATTCGTAAATTATACGGTCGATTCAATGACCTCGTTTGCAAATACAATTTAATCTGTAAAATTTACAGTTAAATCTGTATAGTGTATACAGTTTAATCTGTATAATTTACACTTTATGCTGTATAATTCAAACAATCAATTCAGAAATTTCATAAGTAAACACGCTTTGAAACCAAAAACCACGAATCCTGCATGCTATAATATCAGTTTAAATTTTGCTTAACAATTAATTTGAAAAATAATCACTCAGATTTTAGACATATCTGGTGAATTGTATGGATATAGCAAAATAAATACTAGTAACAAATTTAGCATGACTAATATAAGTGAGGCTATCACAAATATTTGAAAATATAATGAATTCAAAATTTAAAAAAATCAGAAATCACATGTATATCTCTTCTTAAAAAATACATCTTTAATCTTTTTTCAGTGCATCATCGATTTAATTAATATATCGTTCATTTAATAAAAAAAAGCAGAATGTAAAAAAAATTGCATGCCAAAAAACTATTTCTCTCGTTCATTAAAACATTGATATCATTAATTCATTTGATGAGCGGAAAATTTTAATTACTGATGGCATTGATTCAATTATTAGGTTCAGCAATTGAATTAATAGTCTTTTATTTAACTACTAAGAAAACTAAGAATTGGATTTTATGACTATTAAAGTTATCTTCGAGAACTTTTGCGAGCAAAATTATAGGAGAAACAATGATAATATGTCCCCTGACTTCGTTCGACCGGTCACAGTAGCCTAGTGGTAGGGCGTTTGCTTCGTGATCGGGAGGCCCGGGTTCGATTCTCGTACGCTGCGTCAAACCTCATACCTAAACGTAGGTAGTGACTGTTCCTTCGCCATGCGCCCGGCACTAGAAATGAAAATCACCTCACATCGGACGTAAAACAACAAACAAACAATCAATCAATCTGACTTCTTTCGGGTGACATTTATACCCGATTACATACGGTTTGTGTCAAAAATATTTCATAAGGTTTATAATTTCATTTAAAGCTTGTTCTAACTCGGATATTCCATGACCAGTAAAAGGAAGAAAAGCAATGAGATATCATAATATAGGATTTATTTCCTTGGAAGACGGAAATTATTATAATTACTGTAGGGTGTTTGCATTAAAAGTCGTTTTTTTTTTTTTGTACTGATAATCAAATTTCAGCAAATTACTATTCTAGCATGTCTTAAAATTTATCTTCCTACATAAATTCATTTCAAATATAATGAAAATAACATCGCAATTACTTGTAATCAATTGCGCACTTGAACAGTTGTTTTTTTTTATTTTTCTCTCTTTTTTTTTCTTTGCACAAATCATTTCTAACTTTGTTCCATCATTGACAGTTGTTACTTTTACTACTATGTGTGAGTAGGATTTTCCTCTTATTTTTGTGTTATTGTCATATATAATATGATTAAAAATCTTATTTCGTCTATTTTCGATAAAAAAGAACTTTTATCAGTTATATATTCTATTCAGTCAAAATCTCATAATATTATTTTAATAGTTACCAATACTGCAATTTCTCAGAAGAAAATTTGTTATACGATTAATTCTATGACATTTTATTAATATCTGTGATATTAATTAATTTACTTAAGAAACTACAAGGACATGTACAAGAGAAATCAATTGGATTAAGTAATTTTAAGTTGGTAGACTATTTTTATGACAATCACTTTAATAAACATGATGAATTGCGTTTTTTTTATATTAAAGATGTCCTCTCCTCAGCCAGGAGAAGTACCTCTAAAACTTTTATTTTATTGAATGCCTCAAAAAAAGAAAAAAAAAACTTGAAATTTAATTTTTTTTTGTGCAACAATTTTCGTTTCATTTGTCTTAATATGATTCAGAACTCTTCAGTTCAAGTCACAGAAACAGTCTTGTAAAAAGTAGACATATTTGCATTCCATAAAAGTATTTTCAGAGAAATCGAATTTCCTTTAATCTTGCTTCAGATACCAATGTTTATTAGCATGGAATGAAATTGATTTTTTATCCAATGAGTTGTGTGGGTTTTTTTCATTTTGTCAAACATTTGTTTGACTTGTGTGTTTTTATCCCCGAGCCTTGACGAGGAGAAAAAAAAACACACAGTAGGATAAAAAAATCATATCTAACCACAAACCATAGAGGTTTCTTTTTATCACATGTTTTACACATACATGTAGCTATTTCATGCCTTACGTTCTTTTATATGATTGTGTAAATTTACAATATTTGACATATATACAAATTACTTTGTGAATTCAGTGACTTTTTTCGAGAATTTTCAATTACTTAACTGCTGATTTTCAGAACCTGAGGAATGACATATCCGAATCATAAAAATATATCATAGAGTAAATTTCAATAATCTTCTGAACATGTACATGTAGATACATCATGAATGTATTTAAGGAATCACTGTCTAGTTAGTAGAGTATGCCAGGGCATCAACGACAGTTGGAAACGTGGGATAATTTGCATAACGGGCGAAGCCCGTTATGCATAAATTATCCCACGTTTTCAAGTATCGTTGATGTCCCTGGCATACTCTACTAACTAGACAGTGATTCCTTATATTTCCATTTCATTGTGAAATAAAATTGTAAATTTAGATTTTAAAAATGTAGACTAATAGATTTAAATTACACGAGATCTCACATGTCAATTTCAATAGTCCCCGCCCACTGACGTTCAATAGTCCCCGCCCACTGACGTCAAACACAAAGACAGCCGCACGAGATTTACATGCATATTAGGCCTTCTTAGCTCCTGACCTTTCGCTTGGCGAAATTTACATTACAATAGAATGATCAAGAAATCAACTCTTCTAACTTTCAAAGAGTTATCACAGAGAAAACAATTAGAAATGGAAATATACTAAAAATAACTATCGTGTTTAAAGGGGAAATTTCTCTACATGGAATTGGTATGCATTTTAAACACGTTTTGAACTACGACAGTTAAGGTATCTAATAACGTCTTTCAAGACAACAATCTTTCAAAAGCATAGTTTTCCTAAACTTATTTTTTCTCTACCCTATTCATTCAATATGATACTGTACTGGAGAGAAATTTCCGTCACTCGGACGACCTATAGATATTGAATGCCTTAGTCAGGCAAACTTTTTTGAAAAGTTATTGTTTACATTAAAGATCAGTAAAAAATTACTTTTTAATTCACTGCGACTGTAACTGGAAGTAAAGCAGTCAAGAAGAATTCTTATAACAATGCTCTTGAAGATGTCAATATATACTTGTATATCTTTTTTGAATATAGGGTATTAGAGCGGGATGAAGCAATGTATATATTGTATATAAAGTATTTGTGAAAGGCTTATCGAGTCAGGCCGTTTGAGAAACTCCCAG